CTATATAGAAGCATAAAAGGAGCTCGTAAATCTAATTTGTTTACAGATATGGCAATATAGATAACACCCAGTAAAAACAGCAACCATGTGTGCCACAGACAGCAGAGGATACCTGGAAATCCCAGAATTCAAGAAGTTGAACACAGAGAATTGCCATGAGGGAGTCTGAGGTCAACCAGGGCTACAAACACAAGCATAAGAAGACAGGAGGAATATTCCCAGCCTCTTTCTTGATTTATGAACATACAGTTGAGCTATCCCAGTCGAATGCACAAACTAAAAGTAACAATGAAGCTAGGTCTCGCATAGGGTAGATTCCCAAGGGGTTCTAGGAAACTTTAGAGAGTGTTAAAAGTATTACATACTCCCATGGGAGTTGTGGGTAGAGAGATGGGAATGAAACAATACACAGGGATGATATTGAAACTACCCATATAAAGGGCTAGTTTATTGCATATAAATCACATCTGAATTAAGTAGAGACTTTTCATTTATAAAAGAACAATGGGTGATTAAGTCAACACAACCAGGTTAAAAACAGGCCGGGCGGTGGTGGCACACGCCTTTAATCCCAGCACTCCGGAGGCAGAGGCAGGCAGATCTCTGTGAGTTCAAGGCCAGGCTGGACCAACAGCCTCCAAAACAATACAGAGAAACCCTGTCTTGTAAAACCAAAAAAAAAAAAAAAAACAAAAAACAAAAAAACCAGCACAATACAGTGACATGTTAGACTTCTGAAAAAAAAAAAGGTGTGTGTGTGTGTGTATGTGTCAAAGTCAGCAGAGTTCTTTAAGGAAGGTTGTACCAGTGGGACTGTTTGGGCTATCTTTATCCATGTCCCCTTGGATACACTATGAATCACCTTACACCACCATGGTATTAGCAAGCTACCAATATCTTTGTGGAGTTAATGGCTTCTCTGAATGGGATTTTAAACAACTAGAGTCACTCAGGTGTCTCTCATGAGATATCTTTAGTAATTATCATCTGAAAGCCACAGTGGCAATCTGGCAAGTGTCTCCTGACTTGCTTGTGTCCAGCACTAGGTAATCAGATGTTACCCTCAGAGGTAACATCTTAACCTCTTATTTGAGCTCCATTATCCCGGGAAAGAGAAACAACACCTCCCACAGGCTGCTCCCTCATAGCAGACACTTGTAAGGCCAAGATAGGAGAACCCTATTAAAGAGAGAGAGGAAGTATTGTAGGGGGCAGAGGGTCCAAAGACAACACAAGAAAACCCACAGAATCAACTAACCTCGGCTGATTCTGGCTGACAGAGACTAAATCAACCATCAGGGAGCCTACATGGAACTGATCTAGGCCCTCTGCATACATGTAACAGTTATGTATATTTTTCTTCCTGTGTGACTCCTAACAGTGGGAACAGGGGCTGTCTCTGACTCCTTTACTGCCTTTTGGGACCCTATTCTTCATGCTGGGTTGCCTTGTCTAACCTTAATACAAGGCAAGGTATTTAGTCTTTCTACAACATGGTATGCCATGTTTTGTGGATATCAATGGAAGGCCTGCTGTTTTTTTGAGGTGGTGCATGGGACTGGGAGGAGAAGAGGGAGGGAAAACTATCATCAGGATGAGAAATAAATAAATAAGATTTTATTTTATTTTTATTCATTATTTATTTTATAAATCGAAGTGAATAATATTTTTAAAGTCTGGCAATGCTAAATGGTAGGAGGAATGTGACATAATCCCAATACACATTGTCCTGTGGGAGGGAACTGCATTGACCACTTCTGGAGGAAGTTGAGCAGTTTTCTATAAAACGTAACATACAAGTCTCCAGTGATCTACACCTGGGCATTAACCAGCATCAGCCCCTCAAATGTCCCCCATCACAAAAATTAAAACTCATTCCTAACAGATACGCCACAGCAGCTTCATTCCAAAGATAGCCTTACTACTTAAATAGGAAAAAGTACAGAAAAACTTAATTTCAACACAGAACTGAATGATGCACTCACTGATGTACTCACATGGATGGATAAGTCTTACATTATTTTGTAACACTCTTTGAGTGAAGCAAAGCAGATACGAAAGTATGTACATATATGCACTTCTTGTGCGTGAAGTTCTAAGCTAAGAAATAACATAGAATGGCAAAAGAATTAGAATAGACAATTTATTTTACATCATATTGTCATATTGTTACTCATCCATATGAAACTGGTTGAGGTGTGCTCTGATATGCTTTGCCACTCTAAAAATCACAACATTTTAGAAAAAAAATGCAAACATTTTGCCAATTGTTTTGATGGATTGAGATTATCCTAATTGCGTTCTTCTCCAAGAAAATCTTTATATCCAACTTTTCTTTTGAACTCAAAGTCTTATTTACAAGGGAGGGGAAACCAGGGTCTTGGATGCAATAGATTCATGTCTTTTCTCTGTTATGTTTATCTCAGGAGTGGAAGTTAGGATGCTGGACATTTGTAAATTCCTGTCTTAAATCAGTGTTTCTGAGTCCTTTGTTTTTTTGTTTGTTTGTTTGTTTTTCATTGAGCTGACGCCTTTATTTTACTTCATAGATTAAAGAGGTTTATCTCTGTATTTGCTGGCCTTTGTCCAAAAAAATATGAAAGGTGGCTGAAAACAGAATTACAGTAACTTAAAAAGCTACATACTAGAAATACATCAGTCTCTCCCAAAGTTGACTGCTTCCAAACTCCATTTAATATTTTGTGTGTCTTCCCTCCACTGCTGGGATGTCTTCCCTCCACTGCTGGGAATCACGTTTGCTTCTCATTTCTCCAGTCAGCTTCTGGCCAGCGGTTTTTATTAGTCTTTCCGCGAACCTTTCACATTCTGTTTCACCAGTTCTGGAGGGACTGCAACACTCAAGGTTCTTCTGTGCTGATTAACACTCTTCAGACTTTCTCTCTGAAAGGCTTGGACACCCCACTCAAGGGCGATAAGGCAATGAGATGATGGTATTCCTCCTCACACCCTTCAAGGCCAGCAGTCTTCCCCATTCATCTGTCTGACCCTCTTGCCTCGGGTCATTTTCATTTCTATTCCTTTGTTTTGTAAACTCAATGGATGAATATTATGCACAAAGAAGGGTGAATTTTAAAAATGAGTTTGAATATAAAAGAAATCTGAGAGAATAGAGATTTGGGGGAGCAAGAGGAGCTTCCTTCCTTCCAGGGGAGAGCCATGGAATGGGTTTGCTAGGACACCCATGTAGTAGGAAGGGAATCTTGACCTGACAGCCAAGGGGTTTTTTCAAGAGTGATGTAATTTCACTGAGATTTGTCATATTTTTATATATTACAGATGAATAAATGGGTGGGGAACTTTGGGCATGCATCTCTGTCCCAACCAGAGGGATGATCATGCTCTCCTATTAAGGCAAGCTGAAGCCCTTCTCTCTGCATCTTTGGCTCAGTTGTTAGCTATTGAACTTGTACTAGCCATGCCCAGCACTGCTTGTTACTGACATTGCTGCATTTCTAGTCTCTGACCTAGATTGGGTCTGGTAGCTGTTAATTAAATTTTGACAAGCAGATAAATACTATACCATGGGAACTCGTGACAATCACAAAAATGCAGCTGTGATTTTCTTGGTTGCCTCATATTTAGTGACTTATCTTTGGGATGGAGTGAAGAGGTCTCCTTCCTGGAATAAGCGAAAGGATTTTACAAGTCATTGTTGTCTGATGAGTAAGTCCTGTGTATATGTCAATAAAGCACTGTTGGCCAATAGGGAAGCAAGATAGGTGGGACTAGGAATTGAGGAGGATTCTGGGAAAGAGAGACACAGGCAGACATCACATAGCCACCACAGAAGTATGAGGTCTGGACCCTTTCTCCGGTAAGAAAAATACTTAGATTAACAATTATGGGTTAAATAATTAAGTCAGAGCTAGCCAGTATGAAACAAGCAAACTGCCAACAGCTTCATAATTAATATAGCCTCCTGTGTGTTCATTTGGAACTGATGTGGCTCTGGAACCAGGCTGGCAGGAAGAAAACACACTACAGTTGTCCACAGTGTACACTAAATAAAGGGGCAACAGTGTCTTGTATGTATCTCACTGGAACTTCATGGGATCCATCCTTCTGACATTATATTTGTCTTCCTGGAGCCTTGTGCTTCCTCTTTTCTGGTGATTTTGACTGTCTCATAGACAGCTATATGTGCTGGTATTTCTCAACCCTACCTTATCTCACCATTTTAACCTTGACTTTCCTTTTAACCTCAACATTTATTTTCACCACAGAATTATATTTGGCTATTTGATCATATTGTTGTGCCCAAATTCTGAACCTAAAAAATCACCAAGAGACCTATTCCAATGCAAAAGATCCATTCATTGCAACACAGGCTGGACAAGGACACTGAGAAATCGCGAGGCAGGAAATTTACAGGGCAGTGCAAGGGGAGCATCTAGGGATACTCAATAGTCTCAGGATTGGTGTGCCCCCGAGCTTGGATGACCTGTCTTGTGTTGATTGGTCAACTGGTTGTTATGGCCTGTAGACCCTCCCAGGGCAGATGCTATGCTCTACATATCACTGTTGTGAACTTGTACCATAAAGCATACCCAGAGATGTAAAGCACAGCTCCACCAGGTAACTTCTAATTGATTCCTTGCCATGAGGAGGGTATCTGACCTCCTAGTGACTAGGGCAGGCCCCACAAGGTCAGGCAAGCACATGTTGAATCTTTTCTGCAGCTAAAGTAGGGGGCTGGTCCCTTCAATACCACATCATTGTTGACAGAAAGAGAAAACAATATGCCATTGAAAAAGCAGATTTGACAGTAGTAGCAAAGGGTAGGAGATGATAGGGACAGACCACCACTGCCTGGCAAGGTGAGTGAGTGCATTCATGAGTGTTTGGTGATCTCAGCAAAGTTCAGAGATGTGACTGTGCTTGTCCTTAGACAATCTCATGTCCTTAGAAATGTGTTGCTGTTGATGATACCTACAAGGAAGCTGTTGAAGAATGTGACGTGAGCAAAGCAGCAGCCATCTTCATTCACCATCTTCATCATCTTCATCAACTGTGTCAGGTTGTGAGAGTTCATCACAGTCAGACTTGTGGACTGTTGATATTCCTTCACAGAAGAACTGGTTGGAGAGGGCCATTGGACCCTTACCTGAGATGCCCCGTGCTCCACCTAGATGTTTGTATTAAATTCTACCTTAATTCCATGTGGTCTTGAGGTCTGGAAGGTTCTAGAGTATATAAACTGGGAGAGGTTAATTGAAGAGGGCCTTCATCTGTGCAGCTCAGGAAAGTTATTAGTACGGGAGGAAGTTGTGCTATGTCTACTTTTGATTCACCCATGTTCCTGCAAGAAGCCCCTCTCCTACCCTCTGCAAACAAGTCCCATTAATTCACTAGTTTCCCAGGGTAAAATCTGACAAAATTGTACTTTGGTTGGTTATTGGTACCATATGAGGAGGGGGTAGATGCTGTTTATGTCTCCCCAGTTAATAAATTCTTGGAACAGCAAAGATATCTGAAGGCACTGTTTTTTTTCCTGTTATATCAGCGGATGTCTAAGAAAGGCAAATGGGTGATACTAGTGACGGTTCCATTCAGACTGAGACGTTCAAGGAGAGCATGGACATAGGCTTCTCACAACAGAGTTGCATAAATTAAGACACACCCCAGTATAGATGTAATACCATCAAGGGAGAGTCACATTTAAGTGTATTAACAATTCCCATGTAGTCTAGTTTGGTGGCCTCCAATTTACATATGAAAAGGTTGCTAAGAAAACTTGTTTCCTCTCTCTCTCTCTCTCTCTCTCTTCCTTCCTTTCTGTCATTCTTTGCTTCTTTGTTTCTTTATTTCATTCTTCTATTATTAGATATTGCGAATTGGCTCCAGGGGCCCTGAGTGGGAAAATCTGATCAGGTAAAAGCAAGGATCATAAAATGGTTTTTCTGAGAATACTAGAAAATTGTGGGTTTATAGCTGGGAAGGAAGAAAGGCCTTAAGCAGCTGCTAACCTTGCTGGAATTCTCACTTCTCAGCTCACAAGAGGTTTCTGCCAGGTTCCTGGGGGAGTGGCTGCTTTGGGTTTCTGTGTCTCTGAAATTATCAAAGCCTTTCTGTCCTGCACCAATCTCATAAGGGGCACAGAAACCAATATCTGATGTGTGTGTACCAGTTGTGCTCATTTATCTACTGGTCACCTGTTGGGAGCATAGCAGGTTCTTGTACCCAGCAGATCTCTAGAAAAACCAGGAATGTTAAGAATACAGGATTGTCTTTCCAATGGAAAAGGCAAAAACAAAACAAAAAAAAAACCAAAAAAAAACAAAAAACAAAAAACTGTTCTTCTACCCAGAAAGCTAAGAATGGGAAATGACTGACTATCTGATGATCTGTTATCAGTTGAGCCAATCCATATCAAGTTCCTAACTAGTGCTGGAGGTGGTTAGTAGTCTAAATGACCCCAATAGCCAGAGGCTCCCACAGGATCCTACAACCAGGATCAGAGATGGCTAATAGCCCAAATGACCTCTATTCTATCTGTACGACTGAGACCAAACCAGACCCTTAGGACCTTAAGCTCATCCAGGTAGTCTATCTCTAGAACCCATCTTCCTGGGAGAAATGACATGTACTCTGAGTTGAGTTTCAATGTAATTATGCTTTTGTATTACAACAGGAAACCTTTTTCAAATTGTACAGGACTTAAATACGTTGGGGATAAACCGCCTGTTATTAGACTCCCTAAAAAAGTCTGATCCAGATTGAGGAAGTTAATCTGCACTGGGTTTTCATTCTTATCTCCTTGCAGGGTTTGCTTCCCTGAATGACACATGCAGGGACTCCCTCTATTCTCATCCACCCCATTTCCTGTCTACCACTGAGTTTCTTAATGCACATATGCGTGCCAGGAGAACAAAAGAATTCCACCATCAACAGCCAAGCTGTGGTTGCCTTTTAGATTGATTGTTGAGTTTACTACTAAGTGCATCTATGAACTGGAGCCAGCTCAGAAACTCATTTCATTATTTGTTCACTTTACAGTCAGAGCTTCACACATCACCTTTGTTTATAACCTGTTTGCATTTCATTTACCTTACTATAGGAAGATAAACCAAAGACCACATCAGAAATTGAAATATATTGACATGTCTTCTCTCATGTTTTCATGCTGACTTTGTATTTTGACTTAACTGCCACAAATATAAATCATATGTCCCTAGTGACTCATATTGTCTCCTGATTTATTGATTGCACACAACAGGGAAATATATTAATTAAACAAATCTGTGTTCCTAGTGAATTTCATCAACATATAACTTACTTCCAGTAAAATTCACTCTTAACGATATATAAAACCATGAGTTTTGACAAATATACAATCAAGATATAGAAAATCTCCATCTCTACAAATACCCTTATGTTCCTTTATGTCCATTTTCTACTACCACTGAGACTTAAAACTGTTTTATGTCCTATTCAGTTAGCTTTTCCAGAGAGCCATTACAGAATATGCAACTTTTGGAGTTTATTATTTCCCTTATCTTTTTTGCCTGGCCTGATAAATATATCAACAGTCTATGCCTACATTGTTTACAAAGTATTGAGCTGAAGGACATTTTTCTTTTTTTAATGTTTTGGATAAAACTTCTTTGATGCATATTTATGAAAAATAAGGTATATTCATCTTTGTGTTACAAACATCTAGGTGTTGGATTAGTGGATCACACTGGTGAGTTACCTTTTTCTTTGTAAGGAATTCTAAAGTAGAATTCAGTTCTTCCTTCTTGCCAACACAATCTGAGGTTCCAATATCCCCAAATCCTTGAGTAGTGACTGTGTGTTTTTGTTGTTGTCTGCGGCATTTTTCTGCTATTCTAACAGATATGTAACAGCCGTGATTGGATGTGGTTTGATCCCCCAGGGTTGATGTGCTAGAAGTTTAGTTCCCAATGCAGCAGTATAGATGTGGTGGGAATCCCAAGAGTGGGAACCACTGGAAGATTCAAGGTCTTGGGGTCATAGCCTCACAGGAGAGTTAGCAGGTTGGCATAAAAATAATAAAGCTGGAGGCTCTCTACTCTGTGGCTTCCTGTTTCATTGTTTAGACTCTCCTGTTCTCATGCAATGCTGTCATGATACCCTACATCACATTGTGGCACAGCAAGGGAAGGGGATCCACAAAAAGAGTGAACTCATGGATTATCACCTTAGCCATTCTGCCTTCAAAACCATAAGCTAAATAAAACCTTACTTTCTTTACTAGGTGCCCAGACTCAGGTATGTTGTTATCACAACAGAAATTGGACTGATACAGTAGCAAGAAATGGCACTAAAATATACCTGTGGGCAGTAATTCATTGGAGCCTGCTCACTACCAATCACATTCCCTTCAATTAGACCATGATGTTGGGAACCATCATGCAATGGTGGAAACAATAAAAATGACCATATGATCATGCGGCCTGCATCCGAGAATGTAGCGAGGTGGTCGGGATAGATGACACAGAGACCGGTCGGTTGCTTTAAGAAAACTTTATGCTTCCCAAATCAGCTTAGGAGGAGATTCCAAGTCCGCTTAGGAGAGAGAAGTCTCTCCAGGAAAAAAGAGCTTCCCTCTTTAAGGACTTCTGTCATCCATCTACATGCAATTCTTTCCAGACTTCTCACCCTCCTGGCTGGTGGTTTAATCTCTGGCCCCAGAATGGGGGAGACACAGCAGGGGGGGACAGGAAGAAGCATCTAGCCGTAGGGGGTGTCAAAGTCATGGTATTTCAGTGAGCAAGCCCTTATCTGAGCCCTATCAAGAGCTTTATAGCACTGAATTGTTTTCAGTAAACATTACACAGCTGCCTGCTCCCAGGCCGAAGGGGAAGTGGGTTTCTGCTCAAGGTCTGGTGTCCCCACAGAAACAATAAAAATGACCATATGATCAGGTGTTTATCATTTTCCAGCAAACGCTAGTCTGTGCCCTTGCAAAGCAGATGTTCTAGAAACCCATGGTGACTGGAGCAAGGGGAAATGTGAATGTCTTCCAGGACATGCAGGAAGTACTTCACCTTTCCACAAAGCAGTAGATGTACAATGCAAGAGGGTAACATGTAAAGGACACTCTGACATGGATGCTCAGAGTATTCCCATCATGAAGTAGCAACCTGAGACAAGGTGCTGGAGGATACAAGCAACCAAGTAAACATCTTCAGGGGAAGAGAAGAAACCAAAAGCACAGGATTGGGCAGCAACTGTATACAACAGCTAACAGAGAGATCCAGACTCGTACATGTAGAGAGATGGTGAGAAGAGGGACAAATGCTATACTTGGAGAGAAAGTGGGTCAGCTCTAAATATGTCAGAGCCTTAGTACGAGTTTGAACTCAGGCTTAATCAGTAAAGTGCTTACTATGTAAGAATGAGGACCTATGTTTTAGCCCTCAGAACCCACCTTAAAAAAAGTACTGGGTGTGCAGGTTCATATACGATGTTAGTGATTCTACTGCTTTGGGAGATGAAGACAGGCACTCCTGAGGATCCCTGGCTAGCTCTGAGGAACCCTGCCACAAAATCTAAGTGGCCAGAGACTGGGGAAAGAGAAGAAATTGTCCTCTGCTTTCCATACATACAAGCACACATGTGGTTAGTAATCATAGGGACCATAAAGGAGTCAAATCTTACAGTGAAATTATAATACACTTAAAAAACAAATTCTAGCAACACTGAGAAAGTATTGGTTACAGAAACACTTCAGAAAGGGAACAGTGCTGAAGGGTCAGTAGCATGTTGCTCAGAAGGCTTTGGAACATCTTCTACAAACATTAAGCTTCAGGATGATGGAGACTGAGTGTCTGTCACTGTAGTTGAGCATACTGAGTAGCTTTGATAACAGATAGGAGACTTCATTGTTATCATTCCAACCTAGCTATACATGATAAAATTATGCATTAATAATATTCAACATCACCCAAGAACTGTAGGCTATTTGATGCCCTTCAAAGGTATATTTTATAACTCAGCATAACTGAGAGGGAAATAAACAAGTACACAAAGTTTCCTTTCTGGTGGTAACTTCAAGAACTGTGTACACTGCTCTCTTATGAGTTTAGTGAATATGCCTGAGTCACCAGGTACTTTACTTCTGGTAGAATTTCATGGTATTCAAATTCTAAAACCCTGGAG